AAATAACCGACATATTTAAGGGTTTTTTCGCTTGAATAAGTTTAGCAAAATCTTAAAGAAAAAAAACAGTAATAAAAAATAATGAAAAAGCAACCTAAACAGTTGTTGGTCACCTTGCGGTGAATCTTGAATATCCACTAACTTAAGTTAGCATGAACGACGTATAAGTACAATTAACGCGCTTTTTTACAACCAACTAATCAGAAATACGGTCTGCCGTATGGACATGTTTACACTGAATCCGGGTTTTTACTTCCTCCATAAAGTCTTTCATGATATTTTTGTAGGTGTTGCAAATGAGATGGTGAGAGATGAAATTTATACTCTTTCGGTAGGGATTATAAAATTGATGCACACTTTTTTGTTATGAAATTTGATAGCACACAGAGCATTGTATAATACCTTTTCTTTTAATATTACTAATAAACAGAACTTTTTGAAACGGAACTAAACGTTTTTTTATTTTGCAATTTAAAAAAACACACTTTTTATAAATTTCCCAAATTAACTTTTAAACACCTGCTTGTGAGAAATTTTTAAAATAAAAAAAAAAAAAAAAACTATACTATGGATTGTTCTTATATTCTCTGTTTAACTTAAGAAATGTATCCCAGTCTAAGCAAAGCTGGCACTAGTAAATTTATTGTTCAAGTTGGAAGCTCGTTTCGTTCACAAATCCTACGAGTTTATGCGGATAAAGTCGACGACATTAAGGTAAGCTTAATATAATATCTTCTCCAAAAAGTATTGAGGCTTTTGATCTGAGTTGTTTCATTCGATCAGCCTTCTATCAGTTACCAGTAACGACATGATCTCTAGTGCTGTATGTTTGATTCTGCTTAAAAATTAATCGTCATTGAATGATTGAGTTTGCTCGGTCAGACACATAGTTTTCACATAGTTTAGCGGAGGTAATAATACATCATATTCTGACAATGATAGATCAAGCTGAGGTGCATTCAAATTTCTTTATCAAGTCCCGTCCATTTTCATTAGAACGCTTTAGTTTACAAGCTTTATTTTAATGGTTTGCTCATTGAAATGCTTTCCTGATTTTCAAAACCTTTTTATTTTCTTTTTTTTTAGTAACAGATCTTATCTCAGAGCGAGTTTTTTTTTTTTTAGGATCACATTTTTTTTTGCGTGCATAAAATGCAGCGGAATTTTCCAAAAAGTCCTCCTTCAACATTCTTCCACCTTTAACATTCTTCGTAGATCTATCAATTTCAACGGTAAGAGTTCAAAAGATATCCGATGGACATGAGCAAAAGATTCAATACTTTTTAGGAATATTCGTTTTTTTCTGTTACGTTTCTTTCTGAACTTCTCTTGTCATCATCTCTCTTTTCTTTTTTTTTTTTTGGTAGTTGCCGCCTGAACCAACAACATGCTGCATGTCTGGTTGTGCGAATTGCGTTTGGATTGAATATGCTCAGACTTTAGTGAAATTACTCAAAGGCAACTCGGATAAAGCTCGTGATATAGTCTTGAGCAAAATTGAAGATCCAAATTTAAAAGCATTTTTAGCCATGGAGTTAAGATATCTTAAACAGAAAATGGATGAAGAAAAATCAAAAGCTGACGAAACAAAAAAAGACCCCAAAGACATAGTATGAGAAATTATTATAAAAACATTTTTGAAAGAAAATCTTATTTCATATTTAATATTCGACAAATAATTTGTACATATTACACAACAAAAAAATATGGAGAATTCAAAATATATATATATTTTTAGAGCCGAAAACAAGTCTATCAATTTTATTAACTTAGGTTTTTTATCTTTTTATATCAAGGCATTTTCGCTCTATTAGTTGTTGCAACCGCTCGGACTCGTTAAGTCCATTCCCAATTCATAGTTTTCGTAATATGGATCACAAAACATTGGAACATAAGAAAGGGTGCATACTATAACATTTATCCCTTTGCACCGGAGCGGAGTCATTTAAAATTGGTCTTCAAACTCGAGGGCTTCGCTACGCAGAAATTGTAAATAATTTGCAGTTCTTAACATAAAAACAAAAACAAATCGTAAAAACTAGTATTCGGGTGTTTCGCTGTTGGTGACAAATCACGGTAGCGGCTCGCGGATTGTAGTACGAATAAAAAAAACTACGAGGGCAAAGGGTTAATATTAAGAAAGAGTGCAGATAGAGAAGATTTTACAAATTTGAGAAGATGAAATCGAAATAGTTGGAGTGATTATATAAAATTATAGGGTCAAAAGGCATCTACTTTAGCAAACTAGTAGGGCTGTACTAAGTTGTTGTACAGAAATCGAACTCACTTTGCCACTCCAATAAACTGTTAATTCTATAGAAAAATTAGTTTAGATCAAATTAGGTATTTCAAAACTTTTTGTACCAAAAAATTCTTACAAATCTTGCAGAAAACCCTATGCGAAATTTTGTATAGTATGAGAAAAAGTTTTCCTTTTTAATCGCAGCGACTTTTACTAATGTCAATGTACGCTGGTAAGAGCGTTCATGAAATTTGCTTGGGTGTAAAATATCTCCGCTCTCTAACATTATCCAACGCGTTTAAGGAAAATCAAGATCGCCAAAACTTAGGTTTGATCATATTTTGCAACAACACACATCAAAAGTTATATTTGTGGCATTTTATGAAACCAGGAACAAGATAAATTCAAGGTCCTTGGATAAGTTGTGGATATAAAGCTAGTAAAAATCTTTGCCTTCTGCCATGCACCGCCCAACGTGTCATTTCCTCATATCTCGTCTCGGTCGAATCAAAACGTTGCGCAACCAGTGTAAACAAGTACGGTAATCGGCAGGGCACAAGTCTGGTGAGTAAACTGCATGGGAAAAAGATAACCTTGCGTTCCGTTTTTCTATTGAATTGTTCAAATGGATCAATTGTTGTTGATGAGGTTGGTTTTAACCGCTTAATTAGAGTCTGATCTACCTATCCATTTTTTCTGAAATCATGAGATTCGTGCGAAGCTTCGCGCTACGAAGACTAACACAGTTTGATGTTCTTCGTTCTCCATGTCCGTTTCATCTTGCTCTGCTTCGCCTATTCCTCTCTTCTCCTCATTTGCTTTCCTGATCCACACTACTTCGTCCTTTCACGCCAATATTTCCCCATGGTCTTTTGCGCTTAAAATAGCTTCATTCGTTATCCTCAGTCATGATAACGAGTTTTTCTGTATCGTTCGAATAAAATTTCAAATACGATTCTGCGCTTTTCCATCTGCTTGACGTATAACTCCTGTGGTATTCTTCTCCCGGTCTTCTAAAACTTTCCTATCTCTTGTATGCGAGTAAGGCTTAATTCCTTTGGGAGTTGTTTTTTCGTTTCTGCATTGTCTTTGGCCTACAAGGCTTGCGTAATCGCCAAAACCCATTTCCGCTTCAGTATTGGTTCGGCAGCATGTCCTTCGTTTCTCACAAATTTTCGTTCATTGAACACAACAAAACAATTTCTCTGTTCGTTTATCTGATATATCAGAATGACCAAAACTTAACAACAAAACCATTACAAGTAATTGGCATATGAGGAACCGCTTTGCTTATCTTGGATACATGGTTGTAATAATACCGTGTAGTAAGCCACACGGCCAGAAATAATTCCAATTGTGATTCAAGACGTTCAATAGGACGCACACGGGACGCGATTAACACAAAAACTTATATAGGCAACTGATTTCGACAAAACGGCTGTACTATATAAATTTATTTGAATCAAACCTTTTCCAATACTCGAAGATTCGCATTCGGAATATTTAATCCTATGGATACCTTGAAAGTATCTGAACAACGTAATGTCAACATAAAGTGCTTATAATAAAAATAAATAATAAATAAATTCACAAGAGAAGATATTATACTTACAAAATGCCGTTAGACCAGTTGGAAGAGATGCGTCATTTGAAAAGCTAAACGGCAAGCCAACATATGTTGATGAACACATTATGTTATTCGATTCATCCCTAGGGACTTCTTGGGTTTTATCTGATAAAACGTTGTGAGACTGATAGCTGCCGTCAACTCTAAAATTAAGAATTAAAATGAATTACAATATTTTTATATTTACATTAGTATAGTATTTTTTCTGCCTGCAACAAAAATATATATATTATTTTGCCCCCTCCATGAGGTATACCAGAGCCATTTATCCTTGAAAGCCAAGCGAATCCTTTTATTTTAAAACAATTTTCAACGCGAAGATGCCCTTCTAAAGAGAACCCAACTTGACTTTTTGAAAAAAACGATTTAATACAGAGAGAGAGAGAGAGAGAGAGAGAGAGAGAGAGAGATAGAGATAGAGAGAAAGAGAAAGAGAAAAAGAGAGGGGAAGCCTTCTGTTAAATTGCCTTGTGAACATTTTTGACAACAGAAGTGAAGTGTGCTCGTGCGGTTAAATTAATTGCAACCAATAATGAGACTATGGTGACACCTCAGATATTATTGGAACATCATACGTTATTAGAGTTTATCCAATCCCGAGAACCTAAAGTCCTAGATCCTTCTGATCTTCTTGATGCTGTCCATTCTTCAACTATAATGTCAATAACGTAACCTTCCCTTGTGTTATAAAACCTTAACCATGTTAATTTAATCTCTTTTAGATTCTTACGATTAAGTCAAATTTTCGAATCGATGGTCCTAGAAGAGGGGGTTCATTTTTTTTTAATTCCAGCAAATTATAATTTCAAATTGAATGATTCGTAATATTCCTAAGCGATGTACAGATCCATGTAGCCATGTAAGTCGGTCGGAATTGTTAAAATTTATCCTAAGGGCTTGTGTCCTTCCGGCAAGTGTATAAAGTGCCGTTTAAACAGACCCTCAAAATAACTATACGTTGACACTTGCCGCCACTATTCTATGATTTGTTATTATTGACCCCTAACCTGGCATAAGGAAAGGCCTTAGGATGTGACTAGTCCGCTCAAACAGGTCCTTTCCTGTCAGGGAAAGATGTCGATTTTTCGGTCACTTCCCATCATGTGATTCTTTTGAAATTTTTCACACACCTTTCCTTCCGACGACGATACGGCGTGGTCAATGTGATTCAGTAGATGTGAAATGGCGAACACTATAAATTGATAGGTTGTTATTTTATTCGCAATCTTTTCAATATAGGTATTAAATACAAGACCTTTGAGAGAGTAGAATGGATTGTATAAAGTTAGCTGGGAATCGACTTTGTAATAATGAAGAAGACAGATAATTGGAATTGTATACGCAATGAACTAAAAAGTTGTAGTCAAATTATATTGGAAAACGTTTTGTAAAATAAGTTTTTATTTAAGTGAAAATAAATTTTGTTCAAGTCCGTTCCTTTTATGTGACTACGAATAAAAGCAACATCGTGAATTTCTTCTTCACATTAAACGCCATTGGGACAAAATTTTTATCCGCTTAAGTAAACGCGTTGGTAAAATAAAATTATTTTAAGTAAGTTTTTTACTCCATTTCGTTGTTTGTCATCACCTTTTATCACTTATGTATAAATCAGATGAAGATGTACTGCTGCCGTCACTTTGATAATTAACATCATTGTTGTTGTTGTTCGATGTTGATGGTAGTGACTTATTATTATTATCATCATTCGCTGACATATTAAGAGATTTAACCTTCGATAGAACACTACCGGGAGATTCAGTTTCGTTATTACCCGGTTCGAGATGACCGTAAAGACGAGCAAAAAATTGACGCGGTGAAGATGGTCGTACTGGTGCTTTACCGGCGGTCGTATTCGATGACTTGCAATTAGTCATTAATTGATTTACACTATGCGTACTATATAACGGTAACATTTTTATATTTTATATTCAAAATTATTATTTACTTGCGCATGCAGAGAGACACATCTGTTAGGTTGAAAGAAACAACACTGAATGAATATTTCATTGATTGATTAACTCTGAAACCATTTTTACGCACAGGATAATTTAATCCTTTTTCTTTTTTTTTTTTATTACTATTTTTTCCTTTTTGGTATTTTGTTTCTTTTTTGCTTTCTTTTTTTTTCTTTTTTGTTGCTACTTCCGTAAACAATATCAATATGAAAATTTAGCGTAACAATGACGACAACTTTCGTTTATGTTGCAAGCCAAACTAGGCAGAAGATACTCTCATAAGTCCGTATGTCGGAATGGACACGTATTATTAACCATAGCTGCATTATAATGTTGAAGTTGTTTAAATTTTGTCATTGCTTGATGGTTTGTTTGTTATGTTAAACACCTAAATTTTGTTGTTAATAAATATTATGTACGATAATAAAGTAATAAACGTTCTCTCTTTTCTCCACTTATATTATGTACGTGTGTGTACCTTAAATATGTGAATCTCAAATTACATGCGATATATATACATCTTCCCCTTTTGATTTGGTTTAATACGTGTGTCATTTAGGCATTGCAGGATTTCATTGTCTGTTTGTTTAGTCAAGTGTTTGAGTGGTTGCTCCGGAAAAAGTATTTTCCTATTGGCTGCTGACACACTTTAGGGATAATTCAACCCCTAAACACGTGACAAAAAACATATTTATACACTAAGAAAAATTTCATCACAAACTGTTCCCAAGTTTGTTTAATAATGTCAAATGATATTGCCCGATTCTTGATCGAAATTAATAGAATTGGAATTAAATTAAATAAAAAGTCCAATATATATACAACTGAAGCCAACCCCAATTTTCATAGCACACAACCGTTTAAATAAAATGTTGTTTAACAACACTATGATTTTCATTTAAGGCGTGAAGAGGATGATGAACATTTCCTGCGTTATTTGGTTTCCTAAACATTATTTTATTTTTTTTTTGGTCACCACTTTTTCAAGGATGAGGGTCCTATAGGGAGGGTGCTATATGCCGGACACACCGGGAGGGATATTGAATCAAAAATAACGATTGGATATATTTACCTGGCATTGTCAAGTATTGTCAAAAATGTTACCTTAAATACAACTTCAGACGCCAAGTAGAGAGTATAAAGAGAATGGAAATGTTTATTCGCAATTTTTTCAGTGTATATTTACTTGTATTAATTTTAATTTAAATTGTTTTAAGAAGGGTTGTTATAATTAAATAAGGGTTGTAATATTATATAATTGCATATTAATTTTCTCATAACTTTATGTACTAGTCTCCGCCTTCTGGTTTTGTTTCGTTATTTTTTTCAATTTTGTTGATTTTTTTATGTATAAACAAATTGATTGATATTCAATTTTTTGTATTAAAAGGAAACGGATATATGCTTTTTACTGACAGGGTTATTATCACATATCCGGGGGCCACATATATACAATATAATGTTTTTTTGTGGAGGCACTTTTCATACGTTAGGAACCTAAAACTGGATGAATGGAGAAAAGCATTAAATTTTGCTCTGATTCATGACATATGTCCTATTTTACATACATGGGTGTATGTATATTTTAAATATCACTTTAGCAACATCTCACAAATAACTATGTATCCCAAAAAGGCTCTTCTTGGAGTTTTGGATGAATACTGCGTTTGCTTTAATTATTTACCGTATTTCACATTTGCTGCTTCATAAATAAAAATTTTAAATCCAAGAAGTCGAACTCATGAATAGATCTTGCTAATCTAACGAAAATAATAAAATTGAACAAGGTTTTGATATCGTAATTTGAAAAATAAAACAGTCAGGCTAAGAGGCAGACAGGTCATCGCTTGGTTTTTATGCCACCAAAATGGTAAATCTATCCGATAGGCTAGCAACAACAGCGGTTAATAAAACCACACTTACAACCAAAAAGTAAAAGTAGATAGAAAAAAGCAATTGATTTTTTGATACTTTAGACCAATAATGTGACCTAAAAGGGCTTTGACGTGGTGGTAAATCTCTACCAGGAGGTACGTGCCCGTCTAGTATTCTCGCGTCGATTCACCTTGTAAAGCGCTCTAAAATTGCGTTTCACGAATTTAACTTTTTTATAACAATTGTAATTCTCAGCCACTTCGCCACCCACGAATCATCTGGGCTCATCAGTGCGATAATTCTGGGAAGATTGTTGCTAGTGCGATCATAACGACTATCTCTTTTGCAAATCATTCATTAATTTTGTAATCCATAATCATAATATCGCCACAAATATATTTATGTGTATAGAAATGCTACGATGTGCGTATCTTTTATTTTTCTATTCTCACGTTTATTTTAAAAAGAACTTAAAATATTTTGAATCGCAGTTTCTTCCATATTTGTCCAGATAAGCGGAGGCCTTGAAATCGTTCAATCTTTTTCAGTTTGTGAGTAAAAAGCAAAGAATGCAAATCCGTTATGTTTTTGAAAACACAGGCGTTCTTAGTTTATATTGTACTGTAGACATATCCTTTGATTAGTAATCTTAGATATCTTCACTTCTGTGGTGTCAAGAATATTCATCATAGGCATTCGTACAGATGAACAGAGGGGTAACCGGGTAGATAAAAATGCCTAGATCTAATCACAATACGATAGCGGCTAACAGTGTATATACTCCATAATGCGATAGCGGATATGTCATAAAAATGCTTTAGCATATTTAATCAAAGAACGGCTCATACACGAATTTTTCAAATCAGTAAGAGGATGTTATAATTCTTCCCAATGTATAAAACAAAGATTTTGCAAATTTTTTTTAGCTATTCGTTTGTTTTAGCTTTTTAATAATTAAGTTAAAAAAATCATACATAAAGCTTCCATATAATCTCATATAAATTGCGGCAAGGGTTTTATAATGAAAACATAGAAAACTCATTTTATCTCAACTAAAAAGAAAATTATAGAAAAAATCTTAATTATTAATAGCTACCTCGTATTTAATTCAGACGATTTAATTATATCGATAACATTTTGCGCAATTCATATGCTACAGCAATCGAAGATGCTTTTACTGCTTTCCACTGCAGTAAGTAGAAGCAAAATTTCTAAAATTACTCTCATCTTTCTTATCCACCTTGCACGTAATTGCACATTTTTCCTTTAACGATTTCATTTGGAAAGTTTGCTTGTTACAAGAAACAAATAATTTTGATTAACTTTTAGTAAAATATGCATTTTTTCTTACAAAAATATCACAATCTCTTCATGCCATTTAATTATTAATAAATATAATAACTTTCAAAAACACTTGGCAACTCTGTGCGTTCTCTTTAAATGCACAGCTGATTTAGTACTTGATGCTCTTAAAAACTAAGAAAAATTACAAAATGTTAGTTAGTATTTGACTTACTTTGCTTTAAAGCAGTAAAAAGAATTTTAGTTTTGCGTATAGTTAGAATTGGTGTAATTAAAGAAATCTTTCTCTCAGAGCAAATGAAATTGCAAGCATTTTGCTAGCAAAGTGAATGAAAATCTTCAATACTCTTTTCTTTTTTTTTTTTTACTTGACTATTTCTGTCGTTGTTGTTAATAATGTTCATTTTATAATATTCGGTTTGTTTGTTATATTTATAAATGTTAAATGAAAGAGTAGTAAGTGTAAGCGTCGCTAACATAACGGGAAAAATGATAAAAATTATTGTAACTAAAAGATGAGTTAATTTCATAATTGTGTAATAAATTATTAGGCACATTTTAAGAAAATAAAAAATCAAGAATATGATGAAAAATGTTAAATGAGAGTTAGATAATATTATTTAGTGAAAGTTTAATGAAAGAAATTGCGTTAAAATAACTTGTTACAAATTGAAATAATAGTGAAAAAAAATGTCAAATTGTCGTAGAAAATTGCGTATTTTAACTTTGCCGAACGAGTGCGTTTCAAAAGACTTGGAATATGTACAAGATAACGATAGTGAAGGTGACTTGGATAACAGTGATTGTAGTAGAATTGAATATAGTGGGAAAGGCATGCATGAAACAACTCTTGGAATGGATAACAAGAAGATAAATCACAATGAAACAGTTACAAACCGAACCATTGATCAGTATGAAGATTCTTACGATAAAGTTTTAAGGTAAGCTTCTGAAAAAATAAATGAAAAAATTTGTGTCCAACTAGATAATATAGCCTAACACTAATTAGAACTACAACGCGATTCCACGAAAATTGAAATTTTTTATCAAAAAATTGGCGGCATGGATACTAACCTCCTAAGTTTTAATCTTGCATGAATTCATTTTGTTAGGTTGCCTCAGTTGTAACTTAGTATTAGCCCCCATAACAATTTCGTAGTGAATAGTTCGTCTAAACGCGCATCAAAACTTCGATATCAATTTTATTTTTCGATATTTGGAACATTAAAAAGAGTTGTGCTGTACCTTGTTTATGGTATGCTTCCCTTGAATATTGTATTCCCAAGAGCAGTGTTTGTTTTTATAACACAAGTAAACAACACCCTCAGCAAATATGCGGCGCACTCATTAGATTGATTACAATAAATGTATAGATCGATATTAACATACCCTACGCTATTCGTGGTCGGAAGAGTCTTTGTCCGGATGTGTGTAAGCATTCAGAATCGCTTACGATAGATCTACCTTTTGTTATGTCGATCGATTCACGATCAATTTCTGAGTCGACCTAAGCTAGTCTGTCTGCCTAGTCATTGCCTGTCCAACCCACGGGTTTTAAATTTGGTACAGTGAAGTCTTTGTCTTTGACAAGGACATTAATTTTGTTAACCAGTGTCGTAAGACATTTATATTAGGTTTCCACATTTTAGCAGCCTGGGACGGACACCTTAGGATTATGAACACATCTAACATTTTCATCAATATTTATAGCCTACAGGGTGTATTTAAATAGTACGGACGTATGTAGCGCGCAAGGGCTTAAAGTGGACCCAATTTTTATTATACCGGTCGATTTAAAATTATAATCAGATTTGATCTAAGCCTGTCTGTCCGTCTGATGTCTGTCCACGTAAATCTATGTTCAAGCTACAGATCATAATTTTTGCCGTGTTTGGACACGGGGACGAGCGTTATTGAAAATGGGCCGGATCGGGCACTTTTTTGACCACTCCCCATATATCATAATAGTAATATAACATAAAAAAATTAACTGTACCAAATATTGACCATCTCGGCCTTTTGTTTAGATTTTACCCTAATAAGGATTTTCACGAAAATCCTTTGTAGATCAGAAAAGCCTAAGTGTTAACGTGTGATGATGACACTTGACCCATAATAGTAACTTCAAACAAAAATAGTGTAGGGTATTAAAAGGTCGGCCTTGCGCGCTATAATGTTTTTGTTTTACATAATAATTTTTTACAAGAATTCTAATAAACATTCACGCCGATATCTACAGCGATTGGAAATTCGCAATGAAAGTATTATAAAATTTATGTATTTTTTTATTAGAAATTGTGAAATTCTTGATATAATAAACCCAAGCAACTCCTCCGCCGTACTCAATAATTCGAAAGCTACAGCAATAAATAGCAAATGGAAAAAATAACCTTGATTGATCCGCTAACATGTCTAAAAACGAGTTCTTCGTACATTTTTTTTTAGAAGCGATGCATTGAAGATTCAGTCTAAGCCAGTTATAACGGTCTAACTTGTTTTGGTTGATTTAGGTACGGATTTCACTCATTTCCATAATTTCGAAAAAAAAAAAAATTGGGATGCTATCGTCAGGCAAGGCCGACCGTTAGGCTCCCTTCACCACATCGCCTAGAATAGTTACTCACTCTCTTGGTAATACTACAACATGGAACGCTATTGGAGGTGTTCCAAAACCTCACATGGCCTGAGCCGAATTTTGCAGATTTCCGTCATAAAAAACTAGAAATTTGTTTTTCTCTCCATATACGGGCTTGCTTTTCATGAGTATTGTTAGTTTGGCTCGCACATCGTAACAGTGCTCTTAGTTGATGATGAGGAGGCTGGTAGAAAATGAGAAGGAATTAGTGTTTGCGTAAAGATAAATTAATTTGCGTGTCATTCTCAAAAAATTAAATATATTCATAAACTATTTATTATATCCTTATATTATACTTTCAATCAAGTCAATATTTATAATCATTTAACCATGACTGTCCATGCCGACATTCACTCACCTTTTATACCCATCACCGAAAGATGGAGGATATATTTTGTCAAAACATTTGCAAAAGAAAGCTTCAGAGACTCCACGAAGTATATGTATTCTTGATCAGCAACAAATTCTGAATCGTTTTAAGAATGTCCATCCGTCCATATGCGTAATGTCTGCTGCTGACCGTAAAAAGGAAGCTACAAACTTCAAATTTGGCACCAGCATTGGAAATTCTTGCACGTATAATGGTATTGAAAATAAGCCTAATCGGTGGAAGGACACACCCACAGCGCAATGTATAATGAGAACACCTCTGTCTTTCGAAGGGAATAAAAAATAGGTTTTTTCTTATTACTCATAAACCAAACGAGATAAATGTACAAAACTTTCAACCTATAGTCTATGGGCGATATTGTAATACCTGTAGAAAAACGGAAGAGATTGACCACGCCTACCCAATACTATAGGCGCAGAAACAAGCTTTAAAAACCCCATAAATTCGAAATGCACCTCTGCCTATGTATCTGTCTGTAATCCTGCCCAACTGTGTAGTATCTGTGGTAAAAATTCTCTCATTTGCCTACAAATTTTCAAAAGAATTTGAACCTAGACCTAGACTTTTCAAAGGACATGCCCACAACACCCAATCGCCTAATTAACAAAAACTTTTAATTTGAAAATAAAAAAAAAAATCCGCCTCGTCCACTCCATATTATAGTACCGAAGTATAATTCTTTTGCTTCTTTTTTCTTTTTAGGATAACGGTGATGGGTATAAAAGATTCGGTCACGACCGAATATAATTTTCTTATTTGTTGCTATTTAAAATAGAATTATATTCGATACGACCGAACCTTTGGATGTCTTCTTATGTATTCGCATATGGAATGAGTGAAATGGTGAGAGGGAGAGTCGTTAAAAGAGTAAAAATTTATATAAATTTGATTGTTCTCTTCGTAACTATTTTAGTAAAGTTCTGAATATTTTTTAATTTTTCCAGTTGTGGGGCAAATATTCGATAAATGCGGTTGTAGAGCAGCGGTAAAATATTGTGTTGAGAAAAGAAAATCGGCGAATACGTAATTAACGGTGTAATAATCCATTCTAAGCGAGAAGTGAATTTGATACTAATATATACAACAAGGGGTTCATTGACGAGGCATTTTTTATATTTTTTTTAATGTTTTTTAATTCTCAAGCCAAATCCTAAACGTGTTTTTATTTTCGTTCCGAAAGCAAAACTATCTCAATTATAGAAAAACAATGCAAAACAATAGTACATTAATACACCCCTTTTCGCATTAAATATTTTATGGAAGTGGTTTCTTTTTTTTGTTTGCATTTTCATAATTTTCATTTGCAAAAGCTGTGTATTTTAGCACTGATAAATGTGTAAGCCTTGTGTGTGATAAGGGTGTCAATAAGAAAAATTTTGTTAAGCACTAAACTCAATTATGGAGAACTGAAGGCGCAATGAATATCCAAAACTGAAGATCGGTTCAATCGGTTCGCAGAATCTCTGGGATGAGACGTCATAAAAAATGTGTATGTGACCAGCGTCAAATAATGCCATCGTAAGATCATTGTGCTCTTTTCCTCTCATTCATTTTCTTTATATATCTAGCTAAAGTTTCCCTAAACTCTGCAAAGAGAAAATTTGATTTTTTTTTCTTGGCCCAAATGATGATAATGAACATTTCATATATTCTTTAAACATAATGGTTTTCTTTAAGCAAGTAAAAAAGTATGTAATAAAAACGTTATAGTCGGGCTAGGCCGACTATTAAATACCCTAAAACTATTCTTATTAACATCAAATTATACCCTACTCTTATATAAACTTACTATTATGGAACTGTATATTAAAAATTAGGCCCCTTTCCAAATAAATGCTTACTTTCCATAAGAATGGTTGTGCCTAAGCGAGTTCAAGAATTGAGATACGTTTTCAAAATACAGCGCAGTCAATTTTTATAGCACATTACAATTGTGATTCAATTTTCGTCATAAAATATTAATATTTGGACTTTTCTGCCCCATACGGAATCAATTTTGTTGGAAATTCTTTTATTCCAATCTGCTTTTATCATGAAAATTATATCAATTTGTCATATGAATGACAATTTTCATTCTAAGAAAGGGAAGTTCGTAAAATTGCCTTAGCCGGTCCAAATTGTTCACACCAAATTCGAATGCTGAAATACTACTTTTGATGAGGAATTTTGAAAATTACAATTTTCTTCATATAGCGACTTTTCAGAATGGGGACAGCGGATAAGCGGAACAGTCGATAAAGTCCTTAGGTCAAAACACGTCACTGTGAAAAATTTCATGTAAATATCCAAACAATTGCGACCTACAGTTTGAATACAAATTTCCAAATACCACGGACGGACAGACAGGCTTAAATGAATTCAGATTAGTATTTCGAATCGTTCGGTATAACAAAAGCGGGGCCCATCTTAAGCCCTTTTGCGTGTTATGGACGTTTGCAAAAACTTAATATACCCTGTACCACCACTGATGTGGGGTGCAATTATCAACACCCTTACTCATCAATCTTATGCGGCTGTAATTTATAATGAAAAGTATAGCAGTGGTACATAGTTTTCGTGTCTGTCGCATGGTCAAAAGAGTTTTGAATTAAAATTTGCCTTTTTCTATATGTTATTTGTTTGATATTTTTCCATTTTCGGATCATTGTTCTCTTTCGTTCGTCATTTTCACATTCATCAAGGGAGAAAGTATGGAGTTATAGTCTGCTTCCATTTGCGATTAAATTATACGGAACTTCAAATAAATTATTTTATTGAAAATTCGTATAAGTTAATCATAATCAAGTTAAGGTTAGTGAAACGACCCTATCCGATGAACTTTTTAAACTCTAATTTAATTCTGAAACTTTAGGATGCAATAGCCGTGAAGCTAGCCTTAAGAAACTCCATAGACAATACCCTTTCATTCTTCATTAGAACATTACCTTATGTCCAGTTGCATCTTTCTACTCTAAATTTTTTTGCAGAAATTATAATGAAAACATTAGAAAACCACAAGGGAATTACAATTGAAAATGAAAACTTTTGACTTTTCATACTTTCTTTTACAAATGATATAAGGAAGAAATTTCGTTGCTATCTTGTAATGTTTTTTTATAGCGTTCGAATTGCACGGCACTGTTTACGTCGATAAAAGCATAATAAATAAACTGTTGAATTTTTATATCCATGTCTTTTGTTAATTATTTATTTGCATTTTGTTTTTTTTTGTTTTCGATGTGTTTTGTTGACATTTCTTTTTAATTTGAGAATTTAAACGATTACTTTACATTTTTTTTTTTTTTTTTGCTTTTTTTAGTTTCAATTTATTGGACTAAAGTTATAACATCTATGAATGAAAGTTAAATATTTTATATAAATTTTTGTAATTTGGTTTTTTTTTTTTTTTTTTTTTTTTTTTTTTTTTTAATAATTGCACACATAACACATAAATTGCTTGAGTTGGGTTCTCCGAATTCGGGGCTTACCCTATATATATATTTTTCTTCATTCATTTCTTTCAGTGCAATAAATATATTGTTGTTGTATTAACTAGAAGTCGGTGTATAACTTGTAAGTGTGTAATTGGCCTTATTTTAATTTTATTATTAATTTTTGTTGTCGTGAATTTTGTAATGCTAATAATTTCATCATTTAGTGTGCAACAGATGGATGAATGAAGATTTTAGCGCCTGCGTATCGTGTCACGACAACATTGCACATCGATGTACCTGTCTGTTGAAATTCTTGTAGTTAATATGCATAAATGTAATACTTGAATAGATAGATCAAATACGATTCATTAGTTAAAGGCTTTCTGCGGTCAGGCCAATAGAACAAAGAAGAAGAAGAATGGATGGTTTACATAAGAACTCTCGTCTAAATCAAAGAGCTTTGTTAGAGTTACGGTTTGTAGCAAACATATGATCAAGAAAAAAAATAAATTTAAGGTGGCAGGGGAGAGAAGAGTTACTGAAAAAATTTTTTTTTCTCAGCCTAATTGGCACTTGGAACCTTCTGGAAAAAATTCGCGAGTTTTTTGGGGTGTAATTTCGAGGTGTCCATCAAGCGCGGCAAACAGACGTCTTGTGTCAAATGAATCGTTGCCAAGTAGACGCAGCCTCCTGTCGTAACTATTGGCTTCTAATTTCTCTAATGCACTAATAGAAATTATTTGAAAGCATTGCTAAATAAAAAAAGGCTTTAGTACGACTTCGCGAAGACAATCGCTGAATGGCTATGAAGTTGAGAGTGAGTGGAAGTCTTTCAAGAGATGAAAAGTTTATGTGAAGATACATTTTCCAACTTTCCAATGAGGAGTTAGTTTGTTTGTTCTGTGACAGACAGTAGCTTCCCTCTTTAAATAATAGTCCAAGTGAATGTAATAAAACTTTGGCCATAGGGAATATTTGCTTTATAGACAAGGAGTCAATAGCCGGCAAAATTTGGAAAATTGATAAACATAACCTATAAATGTTTAATAGGTATCATAAAATTCGTGTCAAGTCAATAAATTCTTTTTTCGGTCTTTGTTAAAGCAACGCGAAGAAATTTAATTTTGATTTTAATTTAATTTGCATATTCTTTTGCTAAGTAATAGTGAAATACGTTTTTCGTATGCTTCTTCCTCTTGATGTCTTTATTTGTTTTTATACTTTACGCTCTATGTGATACTACTGGTAAAGTAAATTTGTACGGGTATACGTAACATCCACAAGCAATTATTAGTTTGCTTCATTTTTTATTATGTCGATTGATTTAGAAAATGATTTCGATTTATGTTTGTGTGTCTGTCTGTCCAATTCCTAGTTTGATACCTGAGCATACAGGTTTATCTTCAACTTATAGGTTGGAATTTTCCTAGATATTACGAAGAAATTTGGTAGATTATTCAAGAATGAAGTCTCTTGAATATAGGTTGGATTAGATAGGTCTTACGATCAGTCCCACTTTAACGCTTTATTTTGAAAAAATCTTTTTATGAAAATTATTTGTAAACTTCGCGACAAAAATTCCAGAGTGCTAGTGTTTTGGTCATACTAAATTGATGTGAGAAAATTTGACTTGAATGAGTCAACTTTTCGGACGCCCTTCCCAAAAGCGTTTAAAGTAATCATTTATTTACAAACAGCTCTGACATTTAAGAGGTTATGATGAAAATAAGTTCATAACACTTTCTTTCGACTCTGCCACCTTCCATGAGAAGCTTGGCTATGACGAGCTTGTATAGGATAAGGCACAAGTGTTGTAAGGTATTGACTGCTCGGCTTTGTCCGACTGTAATGATTATTTTATTTTATATTTATAAAGTAAAAGTGGCCTTTGTGTTTTTGTGTTTCTAATCGAATTCTTATTGGAATTAAGTTTGTCCCACTGTCCGCCTAATTTGCATTAAGTTTACCGTAACCAATAATTGCTGAATTGCTGCTAATTTATTATTATGCGTAAAATGAATTGTTGGCTATTTTTGTTTTCTTCATTCTGTTGCTTACGCTGCCATTATAAAGATAGTAAGTGTTACGCCTACTCTTATTTTAATGTTATTAAATTTTTAAATACATATATGTATGTAGTTATGTATTATTACCTAATTTTTCTACTTAAGGTGTACAGGGGTATAGGGGTACATTAAGTTAGTACGAATGTATGTAACACCACTGAATCATTCTAATCATGTCTGTCCGTCTTATATCTGTCTATGTACTTTTATGTTCAACTCATAGGTTGCAATTTTACAGATATTTTGATGAAATTTGGCGCATTGACGTGTCTTGATCCAAGAACGAATACAATTGCAAGTGGTTCGAATTGCTTCATGGTGATTTTGAGCTTGTTTGTCCGTCTGTCTGGTTTGGTTTTTTTTTTGGTCAATCTGCAGATCGTAATATTCAATATTCGAGATATTGAAATTTGGCGCACCGATGTATTTTGGCTCAAGGACGAACGCTATTGGAAATGGTCTTTACATGAGCAGATGTATTACGCGTAGCGCTAACCACTTCGGCCGTTCTATGAAGAGAATAAGTAAAAATGAAGAGAGATCTACGCTTAACTTGGAATAAATTTCCGATAAAAGATCCGAAATATATTTACTGATACCGCATATGTTCTTGTTCTGATAATTGTTGTTGTAATGCTTACATATAAAAACGTTGGCAGTAATTATTTAAAAAACTCAAATTTGTGCGCGAATTATATCGTCCTTTAAGATTAAGCGATAAATCATTAATAAAATATTTACATATATAGGAATTTCCAGCGTACCGTAGCTGCAAAAAGAGAATGGACGGATTGACATGGCTAAAGCGACTGAGACATTTTTGCTGCTTAAAAGGGTAACTATAAGAGGTTTCTTATCAAGTTTCTGGTGGAAACGAAATAATAAAAACTAACCCCATCACCGACGATGGCTTTGAGTTAATTTTGGTGGACTCTCGTAGACTAAAGCAAGCATTTAATCTTTTTGAATATTCATTAGACGATCGGGGTTATTTTACATACATATATTATAATTATGTGACATGTAGATTGGGGGCTGTATGTGGTGAAATGATTAAAATATTTCCAAAATTTTCGATTTTGTCAGACGTGTCAGTTTTTTTTATAATTGTTTGGGGGTCATTATCAAATTTGCTCTGTGGAATTCAACAACGGTACACAAATTTGAACTCACATGCTGCTATTTCTATAAAATTATAATCCATTTTGATAGATTTCTGTATATAACTAAATTTTTTTATTCTTATTTTCTCATCATGAACAACATTATTCAATTTTACATAGATCGGTTAACTACTGAATACGCAAAAAAAAAAAAAAAAAAAAAAAAAAAATATAAAAAAAATATGTTCTATGATATATTTTATTAATTATTTATGGATGGTTGGTAAACCACAAGACTGATTTAGAAATGAAGAAACATAAATTTCACGATGAGGTTTCTAATAATGATTTGGAGGGAGATTAAACACAAGTGCAAGTACACTTCTCTTCACCTAATACCTAATATCTTCATTTAGTTTCTGACCGTACTTCAAGCATACTTTCCGTGGAAACTCTTCAAAATTAAGATGAATTAGTTTCCTTGTCAAAGATCTTATTACTTATTGTCCCTCTATTTTTTTCCTAAATGAAAAGTTTTCGAAAAAATCCACAATCCAGTATCAAGAGTGTGGTATAAATTTGATAGATTTCGGTACAAATTGGAAATTTTGTAAGTCATCATATGGCGCCAAGCATAGACAATGTTTTCATCCATAACATTTTCAATTTATTAAAAATAAATATTCCTTAATATGCATTGTAAGATTCATCACTGTTGCAAAATGTAATAAAAGCGCAGTGTTTTTCTTATTTTCTTACTTTAAATGATTCACATAAAGCACGTATTCAATAGTTTAGTAGGGCTCACCAATGGAGTATTTGTGGGATTTTATAATATCCCCGCACATATGCACTAGACATTAGAAATTCTTAAGGGGGATAACCATTGTAAATTTTTGAGAAATTTTTTTTCTTCGTTTATAGGGAAAAAATTCGATGAGGAAAAATTTCTCCAAATCTTTTTTTTTTTTTATTCGTTTATTGAGAAAAAATGCTATGAGGAAAATTTCCTTTACATTCGAAATATGTTTGCCTTGAAATTTGTAGCTTTCTCATAAGCGTTTCAAAAACAGACAAAATGCGTCTGTTAATAAATTCCTGTTGGGGCAACCTAATGTTGTAATTGTTATTATTATTATTATTTTAATTTTAGACTAATACATTAAGAGATGTTTTAAGGCACATTTTCAGAGAGGAATAGTTTAATAGCTACCTTCATCTGCATATGAGAGTAAGAGTAAGGTGTCAGTGCTTTTACCAAGATATGAAAAGTTAAGAATAAAGTTTTTAATACTAATTATGAAAAGAATATTTTGTTGTTGTTAGCTATCTCTCCTTCATTTAACAATTTAAAATGTGAAATTTGTGATTCTGTCTGTGACAAGTGCAGCAAAAGAGATATTTTGGCGTAAAACTTATTCGAGAAAAGTGAATGAAAAAGAATAGTGAAGATGGCAGAACACTTTTGTTGTCCTGAGATTGGAGATTAATGGAAAAATCTAATGAAAAAAGAATCGGTTATACTAGAAAATTCCTCATTTTACGGATCTCTTGTTTGAATAGTAACTCTAAAGATACTTGTTAGTGAAGATCAGAAATAAGGATATGGCGAAATATTTTCCTCCCATCCTCCGAAGGCTCTTTTTTTTAAATGCTTTTAACATTTTCTCATTGTCTCAGGGGGAAAGAAAAAGCGCGTAGCAAAGCTTTTCATTCGAAATCAGCGCATCGACGCAATGGCTGCGGCAGTATTGATGGAGATGAGACAACCAATCCTCACCCAGATGATGTTTTGGAAGCGCGTTTTGAACAGCTTAGCAGTACACCACCGCGCACCAGACTTAAGATCAAAACACGTGATTGGGATCGTAAGCAAAGAGATCAAGCAGTTTCTACGATTGGAGCGTGAGTTTAGATAGATAGAATTTTTTCCCTAAAATCATGGAATTGTATTTTGCCTTGGTACAGAAGTTGCGATTTGACAGAGGAGCCGAAAAGAGGCACGGCACGGAAGGCACGTTCACGCGTTTTACGTCGAAATACCATGGATTGTGCCTTACTCAATGAAATCTTTGTTGGTGAGGATGGCAGTTTTTGTCCCAGGCGTACTGATAAACGTGCTCTAGCCTTAATACGTGGTGCAGAACGTGAATTGAAAAATGCCTTAGCTTTAACACATAGCACTGTTGTCTTAAATAATTACAATCGACGTCACGAGAGTAAGTCCTATCAACGGGAAGCGTTTGATAAATGTATTCCATTAAATAATGAGACGGTAACGTTACGACAGCAACCAAAGGTGGTGGAATCGTGCAATCGTTATATGAGCGTTTCTTCGCGCCCTACTGGTTGCCGTGCATCGGCCCCACCCCAAACGTTTGCCCATAATCAACAATTAGCTACACAGCACTCACCAGAACTTAAATTGCGTAGGGAATTTCATGATACATTTGCCAATCTCATTAAATTAGGCAGTATGGATCGCCAAGAAGTAAAGGCAAGTCTTTGAATTTGAAGACCCAACCCAAGTCCACTAAAAAGAAAAGTTACTTTTCCGTTAAATTGTTAGCTTTCTTTAGAGGAGCATACATGGCAGACTGAAGTTAAAGATTTAATTTGGTTGGAGTTACAGGCGTGGCAAGCAGATCGTACTCTTGAGCAACAAGATAGATATTTATTTATGGCTCGCAAGGACGTACCGGATTTGTTAACCGAAATTATTAATTATAAATTTAAGCCAAAGTATCGACGACAAGCAAGTACTGTTAGCAACGATAGCGGCTTTAGTACAGACAACAGTGTCAGTAATTGTAAGCAATGTAAAGAATATGATGTGTGATCCAAGTCTTCTTATGCCCCTTTTTTTTTAAAATAGCAGGCAATCAAGCAGGCGGAATATTTTGTACCGGCTGTTTATCTTTATACTGTAAGGATTGTTTAGATCAGCAAGAACTCGCTATGAAGGAAGTAGAAGAACTTCTAACACGTTTAGACGCTGCTGAGGCTTTATATCCGTCAACTCAGGCAATGGGTGCCTTTCATGCCGTATACAAAAGTGAAAGTTTTGTTGGACGAATCAAAACCATGTGCCTATGGTACAATATAACTCAACAAGCACGTTTAAAATTGACGATACTGGGTAAAATATTGGTGCGATTACAGGGTGAAAGATTCTCGTGGCCAGTGCAGACTTCCTTCATAGCGAATGAGGCAAACAGTGGCCATTCATCGGTATCAGGTGCAGATAACGACGACTCGGCTGTCAATTCTCTTGATTCTACGAAAATGTCAACTTCAACATTGCAACAACAAAAAATGATGAGAAATCTGAATGGTCCAAAGGTACAATTTCTGATTGATGACGTATCCCATGCAACGGATGAGACTACCAGCAGTGCTGAGTAAGTTTTTGTAAATAGCTCAGCTCATCCACACTTTACCATTCCATCAACTAATTTTTAAACAATTTGTGCAGTTCTTCATACACGGAAGTTACTCAAAATGCAGATAGTTGTAATAGTAAAGGCTTCAATAAGGGTTCAATGCACGACATAAATATATTTAGTGTTGAACCTTTGCGTTCGGGCAGTGGCACAAACGCTGAACAGTCATCTGCTTTGTACCGGAAATTTATTGAAAATGTTTTAAAATCAAGGGGATTAGCTAAAGCTTTAGCTTTTCTGCATAAGCTCCACAATGTGGTGATGTGTAAAGCGCAGATCTCATTAGAAAAACCAGGCACTGATGATTATGACTTCGAGACGGAGAAATTCGAAGACAATATACCACACTTAGAAGCGGATATAGATGATGAGCAGATGGAAGAATTAAGACGTTATGGGTATTGGAGCGAAGAGTACAAGTCGATTAATTTACCTAATTACATTCCGACATTTGTATTTCTAAGCGGTGTTCCTCTACAATTTATGCATGAATTTTTACGCATGCGCCTCGAGACTCGACCATCTAAACCAAATCCTCTCAGTTTGGAGCAGATTATGAAAGAATTGCGAGAAGGTCTTACATTAGCCTTAACCCATAGAGAGCGCTATCAGCGTCATATAACTACTGCTCTAGTAGAAAATGAGGATGATTTGGAACGTTATATGGGTACGTTGCAGCAATATGATCAGACAGTACGCAAAGTATTCGAATTATATCTAGATTATATAGATCAACTAGTGCTAGTCACAGTGCCAGAGAATAATCAAAAATCTGCACTGGAAAGGGAATGGATGTTTACGAAATTAGTTAGTCCAATGGTCGCCGGAATGCACATATTGGCTGCCAAAAAATTTTGCATGATAATACGTAATCTTCTTAAAGGTATTTCGGAACGTTTAGTTAATCGATCTAAGGAGTTGGATATGCAAATTGACGACACGGCACAGGCACAGGTTCTGGAGACAGACTTGAAATGGCAAGTTTTAACTATATGCCGAGAAACTCAATCCTTATTCACCACTGAACGTAAGTGTTCAGTGAAAGTATTGTTCTTTGCTAAAACATTTTGTCGTGACGTCGAATCTGTCGATTTTCATCGCGAACACTACGAACTTGAATGCGGAGACTGTTCACAGCGAGAACATGATGTGGTATGTAATGAAGTCAAAGAATCTTTTAAATTATTGAAACGTGACATTTTGGATGTAAGAAATAAATTAATAAAAATTATTGAAAGGGTCCAAGAGCGTTGTTCACCGGTCTACATAATGGATTTAGATGTGAGTTGAAAAAAAAAAAAAGCTTTCGAATTCAATTTAATTTTCTTGATTTTATTATCATAAAGGAGCAGGATCGTCTAGCGGTATTATCGCGTACCCGTGAAATTCTTCATCAAGGCTATAAGTTTGCTTTTGAATATCATAAAGACGTGATACGTTTGTTTGAGCATCGCATTATGGCAAGCCAAGCTCAGGAATACCAAATAGAATTGGCTTTAGGTATTATCACATTTGCACAGATGTGGATGCAATTTGTGACGGAACGTTGCGAACGTGGACGTGGCATGCGACCCCGATGGGCTTCACAGGGCTTGGAGTTCCTTATATTGGCTTGTGATCCGCAAATTACAAAGCATCTCGACGATATTCAATTTGATGAGTTGAAAAAGAAAATGGATTTATGTATATCGCATGTAATCGGTATTACTTCCGAGCCAGAAAGGGTAGCTCGGAAAAAAGCCTCACCCCGATCTAGAAAGACATCATCCCCAGCCACTAGCAGATCACGTACACCGACTCGGTCACCTATGTCTGCCAGCATCTCTCCTTCACCGTTTAATAAATTCTTGCAACCTCAGTTTAGTTATAAGGAAGAACTTTACCAACGAACATCTTCTATCGATTCAACGGATGGAGATTTAACTTCAACGTCAACCAATAGAAATGCAACTATCGGTGATCTACGTTTAATAGTTCCTACCATTGGTAACAAATCCGCTGCAGTTTCGCCACAAAGCGAAGTCTCAGCACGTTCCTTAACTGATGCATCGTTAGCTTTACATCAGATACGTTTAAGAGATGCCGTCAATCGTTTGGATATGGAATTAGATGACAAACTACGTGAACGTAATTTAATAGGACACGTTAAGACCCTAAATTCCAGTGATAAAGTACAAATTAGAGCACGTAGTGTGAATTTCCGTTGGCATCGGGGTATTAAAATTGGACAAGGACGTTTCGGTAAAGTTTACACAGCCGTTAACAATAATACTGGTGAGCTAATGGCCATGAAAGAGCTCGCTATACATCCGGGCGAAACAAGAGTTTTAAAAAATGTTGCTGAAGAATTAAAAATTCTTGAAGGTATTACGCATGAAAGCCTGGTACGGTATTACGGTATTGAAGTGCATCGTGAGGAATTGTTAATTTTCATGGAATTGTGCTCCGAGGGTACTTTAGAATCTTTGGTTGAGTTGACCGGCAGTTTGCCGGAGGGTCTAACCCGGCGTTTCACTGCTCAGCTATTGGCAGGTGTAACCGAGCTTCATAAACATGGTATTGTACATCAAGACATAAAGAGCGCTAATATATTTTTAGTAGCCGGGGGTAATAGTCTAAAGTTGGGCGATTTTGGCTCAGCAGTTAAGATACAAGCTCATACTACCATACCGGGTGAATTACAAGGTTACGTAGGGACACAAGGTAACTAAACGTTTGATGCTTTATGGACATTTTGTTGTATGTACTAAATAGTGATTTTCTTATAGCTTATATGGCTCCTGAGATATTTACTAAAACTAATAGCGGCGGTCACGGGCGAGCGGTCGATATTTGGTCGGTCGGGTGCGTGGTGGTGGAAATGGCTTCTGGCAAGGTTAATAAAAGTACAACTTCTTTTTTTTATCAGAATCGCTTTATCTTTTTTTCCTTTCAGCGTCCTTGGGCACAATTTGATTCGAATTTTCAAATCATGTTTAAGGTAGGCATGGGAGAAAAACCCGAAACCCCCGAAAATCTATCTCAAGAAGGGCATGACTTTATTGATCATTGTCTTCAACATGATCCTAAAGATCGTATGACTGCTTTGGAACTCTTAGAGCATAATTTCTGCAAAGTACGGCACTTTGAATTGCACACTAAATGAAAGTTTGCTTTAAATTTTTGTTTTCAGTATGGCCGTGAAGAAGATTTCAGCACAGAAGAATCAAAGGAACCAGAACGGCGATCATTTCGCCGTTACAATGTTATATGAAATCAAATTTAACTTTTTTTGTTTTTTATTTATGTTCGCTTTAAAAGAAATTTGGATTAGTACGTACTTAGGTGGGAAAAAGTATCCCATAGAAAAACTTAATAATAGAAATTTACTTAAAAGACAATAATATAATAAGGTAAACGAAATATGTGATTAAACGATTAACAGACAAATTACATTCGAAAATTGAATGGATTTATTTATGACAACTTTTCATGAACACGGTTCATGAATTTATTTAATAAACTTTCTTTCGTGCAAGTTTAAAAAAATCTTGAAAAATCTGTTATGAGGGTAAGTAACAATGCTAGTAATTAAACAGTATTTCATCCTCATTTTAAGCAGTGACACCACTGAACCACTTCACTTTTTGTTTGGAGACATTTTTAAATGAAAATTACTTTTTTCCACAAAGATCTTTTATGGTGTTAGAGTAGCTTGTCGCCTGGCGTCTACCATATATATTTTTGAATTGATGTAGAATTTTTGGACAGGTAATATGTCTTTATTTGAGAAATGTACAAAATAGTTTAAATAATCTCTCTTGCATAATCTACCTTGCATAATCTCTAAATAATGAGCAAAAAATCCTCAAATTTCTGTTTAAACAAAAGAAATTGCGTTCAGCTTACGCTTCACCGCGGGCTTGGCTTCCGACTAATTTGGGCCATTTTCAATACGAGTCTGCGTGAAAGACCTTCCAATGTTTCTACCAAATTTGAAGTCAATATCTTTATTTTTGCGATCAGGAGAGCGTCAACAACACACCAAGCGAACAGACGTCGCTTAATCAGTTTAGAATTTCATGCTAATCAAGAATATATATGCTTTATAGCGTCTCTGAAGCTTCCTTTTAGATGTTGCAAACATTATGACAAAATAAGTATGCCCTTACTTACGACCATCAAACAAACAACACGTTTGGAATATCTTTTATTACTCTGGCATTTCTTTTTTTTTCAGCGTTTTTTTATGTTTTCTCGTGCTTCACTTTATTGACATTACTTGAGATTTTTTCAATATGACGTAGAGGGCTCTATGAGTTTTCAATCTTTGGTGAGGGCATTTGGTTTGTGTCTTATCGAAACGCAATAGCGGAATGAAACAAAATCGAAAATTCTAACCCAAACGAGATTGGTGTATGTGCTATAGAATGTTGCATCGCTAGCAGCACTATGTTGTTGCGGTTATATATTTCTTCTGATAAGTAGAATAACAAATATACATATGAACTTATGATAAGTGTTGAAAACGTTTTAAAAGTATTTTTTCTTCCTTTTTGTTTTGGTCTTGTTATGAAGTTAATGTTAATATTGATCACATGTGAGGTGTATTGCTTAGCTGCTCAGGCAAGCAATAAAATCTCAAGCAAATTCTTTCATCATTAATATACTGAAGTGTTATAACTGCAGTTACAGTTTGAAAGTTTTTTTTTGCATATATTTTTATAATAGTCTACTATTA